AAAAAAAAAAAAAAAAAGAAAAAAAAAGGCCATCTCGTTAACCGAATAAATAGATCGAGCTGCATACGTGAATCACAACCTAGATTCGGGCCGACGCTTCGGAAACGCGCTTGCATAAAGTACGTCTGAATGGTTTAACGTGGTTGAAGTGTCGGAAGGGTGGTTAGAGGGTTGCGCGTCGGATAAACGTACCGCACCGAGTCTCTCTGAAATTCAAGTGTTTTCGAGTGTCGCGCGTCGCGCGTCGCGCATGGGCGAGAGAAGGACAGTGAGAGGGCAGGAATGATCTCGTAATCAGTGGGCTCTAATTATTACGACGGGGGAGAGGTCTGCAGCGGGGAGAGGAGGCTGAAAACGAGAAAAAGGGAACTGAATGGGAAACTTAGTGGAGAAAAACGCAGGAAAATAGGAGAAATTAGAAGGAAGAAGGAGAACGGTGGATGGAAATGACTCTTGTTTGTAGCAACGTGGCTGATACACGTTCCTAATCGACCTTTTTAAAAAACCACCGTCAGCATCGTTATACCGGGACGCGCGTGTGCTTCTTCCCTTTCGTTCCTCTCAATCTTAATCTGTTCTCTCGTAGCCGGCGGGGTACGTGCGAAGTAATACGTACGCTGCACTCCCACCTGGTGGAAATTAAATTAGAAGGAAAATATTCGTAGAGCCGGCCAGCGCTTTTGCACGTGCACCGAGATGGCAAGAATAAAGGCGGCATCGGTGTATGGCACCGGTTACGTACGTACGTACGAGCACGAATACTGACATATTTGAACCACTCAGTGCGCGAACGCGCTCCGTTCGCTTGCGCGTGTGTACACGTACTCCCGTGTGCAGGATATATTCGCTCTGGCACGTTCGAGTGCTGCAATCACTAAAAACGTACCAATCCTCTGGCTCCGCTCTCTTCTGGCTTCAACCCTCAACCCTACGCGTGCTCGACCACCTTTCTCCGTTATTTCCGTCTTGCTCGATCGTGCAGGACAGCTCAATCTTTCGCGTGTTGCGCTAGACGCGCGTATGCTCCGCTGGTTAACCGGTTCCATCGGATTTCCCCGGGAAATTGACTCTGTTCGATCAATTCCGTTGTCAATTATGCTTTGTTTAACAGCCAATTATGCTTTCCTTCTTTCGCGAGCTTTTTCTTTTTCTTTTTTTTTTTTTTTTTTTTACATTTCTTTGTTTTGAAGTATTCAAGCTTCGGCTCGATTTTATCCTTCGTTCTGCAAACGTAATTGATAAAACTCCCCTCGACTACGTACGCGTTTTAAAGCATTTCAAGCATTTTCTACGTTGTTCTTTCGCAAACTGTTTTCAGTGTCGAATAACGAGCAGTTTTCGCGTAGAATTCAGAACAGTCTGTGAATATATCCTTCGTTTACCACCAATCAACCAATATCTCGAAGGAAATCCTTCGATCCTCGATTCTCCGTTCCAAAGAAACTCTGGAGGATCGTCTTCCGCTTCCATTTGCCAGAAAAGTGATGGCATTCGATCAGAGGGGAAATGTACGGGGGCACTGGCCAGGCCCTGTCACGAATTTTTATAAACCGATTATTTAGCTACGATGTAACAAAGTACAGACAGCTATCAGATGGCTATCGTTCTCGCTGCAGAGATAGAGA